ATGTTACAAGCTATACATTTTTTGAGGAAAAAAATATTACCAGAAATAGATTTTTAAAATAATGTTACCAGCTATACAGGTTTTGAGGAAAAAAAATATTACCAGAAATAGATTTTTAAAATAATGTCACCAGCTATACATTTTTTGAGGAAAAAAAATATTACCAGAAATAGATTTTTAAAATAATGTTACCAGCTATACATTGTTTGAGGAAAAAAATATCACCAGAAATAGATTTATTACAAAACAAAAATATTACCAGAAAAAAAAAGGCTGTCGGCATTAAATGACCCATTGAAGTTGATATGCCGTAAAACTAAACAAACCAAACTAAACCCATGACCTGGGTGTAGTTATAGGATCATTGCGTAGTTGAACACCACAACAGTTGCATCCTCATGTCCGAATTGAAAGCCGGGGAGGCATTCATTCATGTAGAGCGTATGTTTGTCAGTTAGGCCTGGCGGAATCCATCCCTCTCCCAAACAAACAACATCTCCAATATTCTCCAACGTGAAGGCTAGATTTGGTCACGCAATCGTGTTCATCAATTCCATCGGGAAACCCTCTGCTATGACTGTTATCTTCAGTCAAGGAAGCCTACCTCCTAGCAATGCCGTGTACGCCCATGTTGTTAAAAAATTGGTTCCATGTTAAATAATAGAAAATAATTGTTTAAATCTTCATACAGTTGTTGGTGATGATGGTGACAAACTTTGGTGGGAAGCCTTAGTGCTCCATCGGTCTCCAGATGACGTCTCTGTCGACACGATCGGAAGCTTTCTGAAAGTCGACGAAGACTGAGTACACGAGGGTCTACAATTCCAGGGACTGTTCTATGATGATGCGCATTGTGGCGATGTGGCCTAAGCATGATCTATCTTGCCGAAAGCCTGCCTGTTCTTCCCGAAGTGTCTTGTTCAATGCCGTCTTCAGTCTCTCTAGGATGATTTTTTCAGTACTTTCCCTGGGATGGACAGCAGCATAATGCCTTTCCAGTTGTTGCAGGAAGACAGATCACCATTCTTCGACATATGTTGATTTGAAGGCCAATCTTCTCCGCTTCTTCTGCAACAAGATTCAGCATCTCCTGCACATCTTGTTTGTGGGAGAGGAAGCTGATGTTGTCTGTGAAGTCCAGATCTCCCAGCTGCTTCATGAAGGCCTACCGTGTTTTCCTGCCAGCCGTGGCCTGCTGCATTATCCAGAATGGTTCTATCAGCTCTGCGTCATGGATAACTTGATAGGTGACATCTTCATAAAGTTGTTAGATGATGGTGACAAACTTTAGCAAAAAGCCACAGTGCTGCATCAGTCTCTAGATGACCTCTCTGTCAACACTATCAAAAGCTTTCTGAAAGTCAACGAAGACTGAGTACACGGGTGTCTGTCATTCCACGGACTTTTCGATGATGATGCACATTGTGTTGATGTGGTCTGTGCATGATCTGTCTTACCAAAAGCCTGCCTGTTCTTCCCGAAATGCCTTGTTTAATGTCGTCTTCAGTCTCTCTAGGGTGATTTTTGCCAGTACTTTCCCTGGGATGGGCAGCAGCATAATTCATCTCCAATTGTTGCAAAACATTACAAAATAAAAAGTAAGATTCGAAATGCCTCTCCTACAAATTCGAAAATAACTCCTCTCCCTTAAAAAATGTTAAAACATAAATAAACAAGGCTCGTTTATTCGCGCTAAAGCAAATACAATGCAGTTAATATTCGTAAGAAAACAATCTTGCTAAATGATATCTATCAGATCGACCGGAAACGGATAACATGGAATTGGCAGGAATGCAAAACAAACAGAATTGATAAAGTTTGCATTTTTCAGAATTCATGAACATTGAAAGAATCTTGTTTCAAAAGGATCCTGTTGCAAAGAAATGATTGGCTAGTCTGTCCGATTCTCACGATACTGTGGTCCTAAGTATGAGTCATATTTTGTTCAGTAAATATCTGCTCTGAATCAAATATCATTTTAGGATAGCATTCTTTTATTTAAAAACAACACATCAACAAACAAGTAAATTAGGAATTTGTAACTTGAGGGATCACGGGTAAAAAATATATCAAAACATATCTAATGAATATACAGGGTGATTGAAAAGTAACACCCCATTTTAAAATGCTTATAATTTATTGATTAACTATAATTTTTACAAGAAATACATATGGGAGGAAAACATTTAGAATGAGGTTTTATTTAAAACTTGCCCGGGATGTAACAGAAGAGTTATATCAAGTATCGACCATCATAAAGACTGAAAAATAAAATTGATAAAGATTATTGTTTAAGGTTGACGGACACGCATGTCTTAATTAGATTTTTTTTTTTTTACGAATTGGTCAAAGCCAAACTCAAACAAAAACATTGTTTTCAATCGTTATGAATAGAATTTTATTATAAACAATGGTCTTGTAAATGGAATTTTTAAAGCATTCTGAATGTAAAAATAAAGAAAAAAGTGTGCAAGACAATAAGAAACACTACCTGCCAAAAAAAGTGAAGTTTTGTTGAAATCGGTTGAAAAATGTAGGAAATCCGATCCCATATATAAGCGAACACACACACACACACACACACACACACACACACACACACAAACAACCTGGGTTTTATAATAAGTATAACTCGGTATGAGTTGTTCCCCTTTCATTAATGCCTCTTAATCGTGTTTTCAAATTGATTTCGTGCAAAAACAATTTTTTTCTAATTTTTGGCGCTGTCAGAACCACCGCAAAGGTAATTTTACGTAGTCCTGTGAAGTTTTGTTGAAATCGATTGAAAAATGTAGGAAATCCGATCCAATATATAAACGAACAGACAAACACACACACAACCTGGGTTTTATAATAAGTATGATTCAATACGGGTACCAGATTTTGCTACCAGCTTCTCAAGATGCCCAGGAATCGCGTCACCTGATTTCACCAGAAACTCTTGTGGTATGACATAACTTGTGTTCACCCGTTTAAGTTCTTCCAAAGTTGATATAGTAGACTTGCTCGTTTAACCAACCCCATAGAAAAAAAAAGTCACAGGGTGTTGAGCCATAACTCCTAGCTTGCCCCTGCTGAATAAAATAGAGAATTACTTTTCAATCAACCTGTATAAATAGGATACAGCAAACGCTAAAAGCCAATATAGGCAATTATTTGAGAATAGTGTACAATGGAAATGCATTGTAATTATTAAACAAATATATAAAGAATTTTAATCCCTTTAATTATTACTACGTAGTCAGTCAGTTATGTGCCATGCGTGATACACACGTAGGCGATCATGTATCCTTCGATATATGACTGACGAGGCAGATTTGTTTCCCGCAGTAGGTTGCAATTTCTTTCTGCGGCAGACCAGTTGCCATCCAAGTCCATAGAACCCGCTTTGTCCTGCTATTTACCCATTGCTTGGATGAGGGAAAAGACGAGAATGTAATGGATTCGACTAGATGATGGAAATCGAACTCGGCTCTCCGATTCCTCGATCCGAATCGCTAACCATTACTCCACCGTGCCTCCTCGTTCGTAGTACTAAGACAAATACTAAAATAAGACGTTGAGAAATGTACGGGTAGCGTTACAGTTATTGGTACAGACATTGGAATCGTCAAGTCGAATTAAAATTCTAGTTTTTACTTTGGACTATTAGTCACGGAATAGGCATTGTTTTTTCTTCTCTTCCAAGATATGTCTTAAATATCAGCATATGATAGGCTCTGTAACTTTGAGTGACAGCAATCCTAGAATAATGACAATTCTAAAATCAAAACAGTCGTAAAAGCAATGAGAAATCGCTCTGCTATATTTCAAAAGAAGCCTCGACATCATAATGAAAAAGAATCTGTGGAAGCCCATAATCGCCTACTTCCTAAAAGGCACATGGCATTAAAAAAAAGAAGATGCCAGCATATTCATCGTATATTTTACATGTGAGATATTCTAGGGACTTTCGTTATCTCGACCGAGCAGAAAGTCCGATACAGATTCGGCTCCACTGGTCACAGATTTTTGTAGTTGTTTTATTCATTAAATGCCATCATTGAGCGGAAAAACGGTTGCGCCAATCCCGGCAGTGTTACAAGTTTTGAATCCGTCTCTTATAATGGCTGCCATATATTTCCTAGCTGGGTGAATAAGAGATGGATTCTTAACTTTTACAAGTGTGTTTAAAGAAAAAAGTGAACGCCCCGAACTCATCAGGGAATTTGAAATCGGCACGCCAGTCCCACTCTCGCGACTATATCCAATCTCTGTGCTGGGCGGGTGTAGTGATTAACAGCGCTGAAACTCGGATCGGCTTGCGGGGTTCAAATTCCGGCCGAGGTCCTTGCGTTCACATTAGCAAAAAGTTCCATCGAGAAAGCTATCAATATACCTCGTCTCCCCCTTCAGCTGTGGTTAAATAGCAGGACAGGCAACTTCTCTAGGAGAAGGAAAACTCTGCATTCAAAACTTCTGCTTGAGGTGGGGAACAAATAGCATCTTCGACCCGTACAACGCTGTTTATTTCGGATAGCAGAGCAGCCGAAGCTGACGTGAAGCCGAGGTCCCATATTTCAAAGATGTGTGCCTGCAAAGGTGAAATACGAAAGATATAATTTAATATTAATTTCTAATATTATCTACTGAATATCGATCTTCTACAACAAACTTTATGGAAAATACTGCTTTCAGAGAAAGAGATAGTTGATGCCCAGAAGCATTTGTAAAACCTCTTGTACGAAAATTGATCGATTGATCAGTTTTTTTACGGTTGATGTACCCATTGCAAGTTATTTAAAAAAGGTAATATATTTAAGATATAAGAATTTTTTAAAGAAAATTATGATATATTGATACAAGGTTTATTAATTAACCCGCAGCTGGGGTAGAAGAAGTGGATTTATATCTTTCCCAAGTGTATTTGCGTCTAAGTGAATCCATCAAACCCAACGGGAATTGGAACTCGGCTCTCCGATTAGCAATTCTATATCCATTACACCAGCCGCACATACAAGCTTGCAGGTCCTGATATTCCCAAGCGATCACTCATGTAGGTACTAACGAGACTCGATGTTGCTTAACTTCGGTGATCATACGGGAATCGGTGTTTCAACGTAAAGTGACCGTAAGGTGAATTTTTTACGGGACTATGAATGAAATAAAAATCATCATTTCCCTTTCACTTATGATGTGTGTGACCCCTTCAAGATGTCGGAGATTATGCATCTACACAATTGCCTGCATGTTGTAGTCTTAAACAATGTTTATCCCCTTTAAATCAGGGGTTGGAAACTCATTCGACCCCGCCGTCCGGATCGTGTTATAGTGACGGGTCGTGGGCCGGATGAAGGTTATTAAGGAAAAATTAAGGAAAATTACATATGCAGACCCCTGTCAACCTAAATATTTAAAACCATAATGAAAATAAACATTGAGAAATCAGAAAAAACAAAAGAAAATCTAAAATTAAAAAAACACCTAACAAAAATTACTTTTCGTCAAGGAACGTCAAAATACTTCAAAGTGAAAAAAATCAACCGAAGTGAAATGGATGAAATTATGACTTGTAGGTTTGAAACTGTTATTGAAAATTGTTCCACAAACGAACCACACACACACACACACATCAAACAAAAACGAAGCACATATACCCATACATACGAGTACAAATAGTTGCAAACATATACACTTACGTACGTACACATGCGGTATCATCCACACATTCATGAGGCTTGTATGTATAATGCGCGTATGTTTAACTGTCTTTAGATTTCTGCTACATCGCATGTCAGTCCCTCCATGGCCTCTTTTACTTTATCGTTCCTTTCGCTTCTGTTATCTTTCAATGTAGCCAAGGGTCATAAAAATATGGAAGCCTCGTCTCTCATGTTAAAAATATGAAAGCCACGTCTCTCATGTTAAAAATAGAATCATTGGTAATCAGGCTCGCGGGCCGGTCAAAATGCCTTCGGTTGCCGACCCTTGCCTTAAATTCTTTTTCTGTTCCTGTTCTATCACTTATTTACACACACTCGTTATTTATTTTAGTCGCTGTATTATTCTACTCCGCTTGCCTCTGTTTTGTCCTGTAAATGTCAAATTCCACAAGCTCTCTTTCTTTATCAAGTCTCCCTGAGATTTCCACTATCGCTTTCTGATTCTAAGAAGAAATGTCCTATTTGTTATCGTGCTCATTAAAACTTCCTCGTTACTTAAAGTTTTCGTTGATAATATTGTCAGTATCCTATTGCATGCTATTCGTCTTGACTAGACATCTCGGCTTCAGTACCTTTTCCACTGTCATAATGTAGTTTCCCTGTGCCGGTCCTATAAATGTTTTTATAGTAACAGTTCTGATGAACTTTCCTCAAGGGTACCTAGCGTTTATAAATTGAAACGCAGTATTAGATCAGTGACAAGGTCGCAGCATTTTACAGTTGAAATGGCTAGATGTAACCGTAAGTTCTATGCTAACAGTTTCCTCTATCGCACTTCTCCCTTGTGAAAATCACTTCCGGTTTCTTGCTTCCCGGTCAATTTTAATCTTCAAACATTTAAATGCAATGTAATGTCAATCGTTATCTATTGTTTTCTTCAATCTTGTTTTTATTGTTCTTTCTCCTTAATAATATTTTTCTCATATTCTCTAACACTCAAGAAATCCTTGCGACTCAGTGGTTTTATTACCTTGACTGGGGTGATATAAACCTCTTGGAGAAGAATATAACTCTTGTCACAATTCTTCTTGTGTTTGGAGGCTGTCTCCCAGGTAGGAGGATGGATTTTTTTATTTCATTCTAAACCAATATACGATATATTTTGATATATTAGTACTTAAAACTGAATTTTAATGAAGAGACTGTCAAATTTAGTAACATTTACCGTTTTTTTAAGAATATTCAGTTTTCACCAGGAGCATTTAAATTACTTTCAAAGTTAGTATCAATGATAAATAATTACTGAAAGTTTTAGTGACAAAAGAATATGGCGCCCTGTTTGGTCCATCATTCATCCCTTTGTCGGTGAGACAGAGTTGACTCCTCCAGGGCAGAGGCTTTGGTGAGAGTATATGGAGGCCGAGCGCTGGACAGACGACATTTCCCCCTCCCCCCCGGTCTAGGTCGTACCGAAAAGAAACATACGAATATGAAGCATTACATTTGGGGCCGGCGTAGCTGCAAAAGTTGCCGAATGGTTGTCAGTTTTGAATGCCAAACACCTTTGCGGCTCCAAGACAGTTTTCCTATCTGGGTTATAGTGTTTTCCGGGTTTACATATTACCGCATGGCAGCGGAGGTTTAACATCATGCTTTCCTTTCCGTAGATGACCTGCCATTTCGGACTGACGATCCCATTGTACAAGTAGCAGCTTATTATGAGGCGTCAGTGGTCCGCATTTGCCGTACTCCGGTTTGAAGGTGGACCTATTTCAAACGCACACCGTTGGAGGATTTTATAGAGTGTGTCGGCTATAACAACCTTTGAAACATATAATATGCCTATATAATTGATGCATGTTTGAAACTCCGCAAAAGTTAATGTCTACACACACAGACACACACACACAAAATATATATATATATATATATATATACAGCAACACGTTTGTTCATAGTTTTTTTTTACCAGATATGTTGTTCTCAGTAAAGATAGAAAAATATCAAAAGTTACTAGTGATTATATTTTTGTACACGTACAGAAAATACAAAGCATTATTCTTATTATGAAATCTTAATTACATCACTCATTGTGTCAGTATTACATGACTTATGACATTACCTCTATCTGTATACAGAATTTATTTAATTTTATATAAAAATACTTTTAGCTTATGTTATTTTTATAGAACTATCTTCTGGATATATATTTAATCTCTTATGAAATGTAAAGGAATATTGCGTTTATACTTGGGTTTCATTGCCAAACTGCCGCACTTTATAAATGCTCTGATATACACAAATTAAATTATATTCCAAAATCCGAAAATAACTGAATCAATTTCAGTCCCAAGAATTTCAGTCCCAAGAATTTCGGTCCCAAGAATTTCGGTCCCAAGAATTTCAGTTAAAGATTTCTTACCCTGTATTTATAACATACAATAAAATTGTCTAAGCTGTTTTTTTTTCTCAACACTAATATCCAAACTGTCATTTGACAAAAGAATGAACGAGAACAGAATGGTAGAAGAAACTTATACTTTTGCAATAATTTTTTCAATATCTATGTATACCATTAAAGGACTGGTGTGATGTAAGCCTTTAGGTTTTAGGCTCATGTTGGTTCCGCTTGAACAATTTTCATTGCTACGTTTTAACAAATAATGTCCAGTCCGGTTTCATCGAATTGTTTGCATGGATTAAAGCCGATGTCATGACCGAATGAAGTTTGTATATTTTGATATTAGTTAATTGATCGATGTAGAACGGGAGAGAAAAAAAAAAAGGAAAGATGATGATGAGCAGAATTTCATTGGTCATGATTGTAATAGCTGCATCTGTTGGTTGCTACCACCGGACGTTATCGCTGGTTAGCTGATGTATATCTTTATGCCTACGCCATTCGTGCCGGTTGTATGCATCCATTCACTGCACCAAAGTAGATATTAATGACCTTCGTGCAGTAGATATTGGGCTATTGACAGGCCTGAGTGAAAGGTGGACACATTCGACAAGTGTGTGGGTAGCGGGGGGAGAAGCGTAACCGAGGAAGAAGAAATAAAGAAAAGTAGAAAGAACTATTATTTTCGGCTTCGTACTATCTTTGATATATATATATATATATATATATATATATATATATATATATATATATATATATATATGATAGTAAAGAAAGCTTGTCCACCTATGCTTCTTATACTATGTAGATATAATAGGCCGGTGAAAGAAATCCAACCGATATAAAAGCAACATTAACCATAAATATATCCGTCAGCAAGTGCCTCTGATCAGGAGGTTTTAAGAAGGATGGAATCACCTCTTCATTGCTGTTGTATCCAGGGTTCATCTTAATCCGGGGTGGTAATATCTGTTAGGGTCCCAAATATGGGCAAATAGGGAACACACATACTGGGTTCAAAACACTATGAAAGTATAACAAAGTTACAGTAAAATACTAGCAATACATTTTCATATTAAAAAATACTAGCAGCAATATATTTTAGTAATAAAAACATCTTACCAACAATACAGTTGTCAAAGAAATTACTAATATTCCCAATAATATTAAATTCCGGCTGTAAATCACATATAAGTGTTGATATGCGGCTAAACAAATAAATAATGACAAACAAGCCTTTTGATCAAATAGAAGCATGATATGAAATATTTAAAAAAAAAATCAAATCTCTTCAATAATATAAAAAATTCCCTGGAAAAGAAAGCCCCCCACTTCATTTTATAGTTTTTATTTCCCATCGCATAGGCATGTCCGAAAATTCCGATTTTAAAAATCATATATATATATATATATATATATATATATATATATATATATATATTATGTAAATCTATTAAAACTCGGTTGGTAAAAGCCTGGATGGCACAATTTTCAAACTAATTGGCATCCGAGGAAAAAATTTGGAATAAAAAAGAAAGAGCCAAAAACCTCTGAAGCCTGAAATTTCTGGTACAAAGAAGAAAAAAAAACAGCGAGTAAGAAGTTAAAACGAATAGTGCTCAATACATTAAATAGAGCAAAGGGAAGATAAATAAATCCTAATGAGCCAGTTATTACCTACCCAAGTTTCATCAGATCAGATCATCAGGCTGATGATCCCATGTTGTGAAACATAGGTATGTAGTACCTGGCTCATTAGGATTTATTATATATATATATATATATATATACATATATAGTAAAGGTTGTGAATCCGTTGGTATATAATCCAAGTAGATCCTAGTATTATATGAAAAACTAATCCACCAAAAAGCTAAAAAAAAATAGCAGTATACCATAAAATCCAGATTTACCTTATATGGGGGTATAGATCGAGGAAACTTACTCAGACTCGGTATACGGACCTCTGGATATCGAGGTTGAGTAAGACTGACGAATTATATATATATATATATATATATATATATATATATATATATATATATATATATATGTGTGTGTGTGTGTGTGTGTGTGTGTGTGTGTGTGTAGAGAGCGAGAGAAGAGAGTGAGGGACAGACAGGTAGAATGATAGCCCTTTTATGTCAGTAACTACCCCTTGGGACTATAAAACCATCAAGACAGGTGTATACATATTAAATTAGTAATGAAAAATGTGGTTGATAATATAACTTTATAAAAAAAGGATGCCTAGGGAATGCCATGAAAGGAAATAGGGATGAGGTTTCTTGAAGGCTTCTTCCTGAATTTTGGATGAAACAGAAAGACATACGATATCATTACAATGTTCTTGAAAGTCCAACCTCCAGTTATTATTCGAGTTGAACTTTCTAATAAACATTCATTAAAAGTGTTTTTGAGGCAAGAAGCCGTTATTAGGTGGACTTTTTAATTTGAAAACTTTGGCGCCATTCCTGTTATCCATATAAAAGTTTTAATCTAATGGCAAAAAGAACGTGTGAGTCTTCGTGTGTTAAAGTTTTGGCTTTGTATTTAGGTGAGCATTTGGTAACAGCGCAGTGTTCAATTTCATTACCTCCTAAAACATACCTAACTGAGTTTGTATTTAAATGGTTGGTCATTACAGGCGCGGACAGGAGACGGACATTTCACCGAAAAAAGTAAAAAGACAAAGGAAACTAGTGCAGTATTAAAGGCCATAATCGCCGACGTCCTCGTAAAGATTCAGTTGGGCATTCCATCTTAGTTTCTTTTCTGTACTATTTACTTGATTGAGATTTAATACGAGTTTAGTTCTTAAAAAGAGTTTAAGAAAAATGCTAAAAGATTGACGTATTGTTGCAACCAGAAGACAGTGTTCGAGTCCAAGGAAAAATGCCATGAGTTCTCCTACTGTTATGTCTTTATAATTTAATAAGAGTATTTATCGGTTATGTTATGTCAGTCCTACTATATCGCAATGAATGAAATTTCTGGATATAGAGAGCTAATAAAAATGTGGATAGAAGGATAGATGATAGAGGAGATAGACAGAATAGATAGATGAGAAAGATAGTTGAATAGTAAATATAATGAGGCAATAGATAGATTTGAAAACCATGGCAAAATGAAGGAGAGCGCATAACATGCCTAACGAGTTTGTTTAAAGATCATTACAGGCGCGAGGAGAGATAGCAAAAGACAAAAGAAAAGAAAGGCCATAATATGAAATTAAGATATATATTAACTTACATAAATAAGAATCGAATTAAGATAGGAGATAGATAGATAGATAGATAGATAGAAACTGGTATAGATAGATAGATAGATAGATAGATAGATAGATATTGACCAGAAAGAGATAAAGATATTACAAACTGGTAGAAAGAAAGTATGAAATTAAGCTAAATAGAATCAAAACGGATAGATAGATGGATAGATAGATAGATAGATAGATGATAGATGTAAATAAACTAGAGAGCTTCAATAGATAGCGATGGATTATAAATAATGTTTAATTAGTAATGTTTAATTAGTCTGAAGCCTCTCTTCAACGGCTTCTAGCCTTACCTATGGCCTGGAGCTCTTATAGTAATCGACTAGTTAATATAGTCACCGGGGTTGTACAATTTACTCCACAACATCCGCCTTTTGAAATTAATACTTTTATATAATATTTTATTTTTTATTTAGTATTAGTATCTCCCCCTCCTCTGTCTGGAGAGTTCGCCAACTAATTTGACTTTGTATCTTTTCCGATTCGGATCCCCTTCCAGTTCAGCTGTACGCTCTCTTTTTCTAGAACTTGTCCTTGTAAGTTCCACCACGTCGTGGCACGGGCAAATCGAAAACGTCATCTTGCATTTTTATTGTTTATTTCTTGCAATATTTCACGCCTTTAATCACTAAATACTTTCAGCTGATTATGGTGCATTTTATGTTTGAATCTTTTCGCTTTCACCTTGTAAATCAATTTCCCGATTCTTGTTGATGCTATGCAGTATTCCCATGTTTCTTTGCCATTCTTCTATTCTCAAAAGAACACTTTATCGACAATCTTGAAACTTTTCATCTCGCTTTTATTAACCTTTCTTTTTTTTCGACTTTGTAATAACTTATCGAACGCCCATTTACTCTTCTAGCAAACATTAATTCCGCTTGTGACATGTCTGATGGTGAGTTCGGGTTAAGTGTTATTCGGCAAGCTCTCAGAAAATTCTGAAGTGCTTCCTGTTTTCATTTCTCAAGACTGGCTTTCTTCAATGCGCTTTTGAACGTTCCTACAAACCTTTCCACTTGTCCGTTTGACTTGGGTGATACACCGGGGTCGTAATGTGCTAAATGGAGAACACCTTACGAAAGTCTTCAATTCACTACACTTGAATTCCGTCCCGGAATCAGAGAATATGGAATCAAGTATGCCATATCTCGCAAAAGATTCATTCAAGAAATTCACTGTCACTGAAGATGTTGGATTTTGGCACTTATGAATTTCCGTCCATTTTGTGAAACTATCAACTACCACAAGATAACGTGATCCATTCATTGGACCTGCAAAGTCTATATGCAATCTTGACTACGGCGTGCCTGTCTTTAGTCAAAGTTCTATCTTTGTGACAGGTAGTTTTGTTGTCAGAGCACAACCTCTGCAAGCTTTCGCCATTTTTTAAATATCTTGGTCCATTCTGGTCCAATATACGAAACTTCTCACCAAAAATTTAATTCTTGAAATACCAGGATGCCCTCTATGAAAATTCTTCAATATTTCCTTCAGTAACACACTGGGTATTGCAACCCTTTGCCCGAAGATTACTACCCGGTTGCACAGCTAGTAAGTGTTTAAATCTGGATTTCCTTCCTTGTTACTTTCTTTTAACTGATTTTTTTTTCAAAATAAAGACGTCATTATCCGTTTTTACTTTTTATTTCTTCCAGGGTAAATGGAAACTCTCGTACTACGTCACAGTAAATGACCGTTCCGCATTTTTAGATTTTAATGATGGTAATCCATTCGCAGGTCCCAGCCTTTAGACGGTTGGTAGCCCATAGTAAAATCATAGTTTAAAAAGATGATACCGTGGCGTTATAGTCCATTACGTGTATGCGTAGGTATTCCTTTCTTTGAACCATATGTTGTTAATAGAGTGATGTGGTCTGTTTGCAACCAAAAATTTCTTCTGTAAATAAATTTATGAAATTTCTTCACAGCAGATATAATTACTAGAGCCTCGAGCACCTCGGCGTGGTGTAATGGTTAGCAAGTTTATCTTGCTAAAAACAGTTACAAACTGAAGAGTACGACCCTTACTGGGTAACCCCATACTTTCGGCCGTGTGCCACATCTAAGCTACATTTCGAAAATCAGTATAATTGCCTAGATCCTCGTTTTCTATCTGGCTGTAAATTTTCTATGCTGGCAGAAGCGAGCGTGAAGCATAAGCAAAGGCTTTCATTTTACCGCCATCGCATTTGTGTAAAATCACTATTCTAATGCCGTATCTACTAGCATATGACGCTACTACAATTTCAGCTTTTGGATCGTAGTGTGGTAATGATAAATCTGACGCAAGTTTTTTTTTTATTATTTCGTCAAGCTTCTTTTGACAGTTATTCCACTTCCAATTTATTTCTTTTTTAATTAAATGTTCAGTGGTGCTCTCAAATTATGCATATTATGTACACATATTTTATACTAATTAGCCACGCTAGATAGAATATAACATAGTCACATTTGTTGGTGTAGGAATATTTGTAATTGCAGCTGCCCTCTACGGATCTGGTTGCCTAGCATTTTTATCAATAATTTGATCAAGGTTTTTAATTTTCAGCAAAAAATTTCACATTTTTCTTCACTAAGGTTGAATCCATATTCTCTTAGTTTTTCAAAAATTGTTTTCACATGCCCAACATTTTCTTCTTGAGATGCACTTTTGGCGAAAATGTTTTCAGGATACCCAACTGCGAAATCTCAATCCAGACGAATGGTATCCATAGTTTGTTGAAAAATAACTGGTGCCATCTTTATAGAAAAAGGGAAGTCGGTCAAACTTATATAATCCCCAGTGCGTATTTATGGTAGTTAATTCCGATCATTCATTTTCAATCTGAATTTGTAAATATGCTTCAGAGAGATCCAGCTTTGAAACTATTCTTCCGCCATTTAACATCAAAAAAATTTATTTTGGACTTGGCAATGGGTAGGTATATGTTTCTAAACAACTGCTTAATTCTGTCGAGAAGTCCGCGCAAACACGAATTTTTTTCTTTACATACACCGTTAAATGGTTATTTTATTTCTATTGCACTAATGCTCTTGAGTCTGTCCAACTCTTTGTTGACTTGTTCCAATCCTCTATGCTTCGTTTCGGCTTAAATCCTGGCGACGAATCTTTTTTCACTTGAACTTCCGACTTGAATTTTGAACACCGACTTTTTTCAAGACACCAAAATCTGCTGATGCTAAAATTTCTAAGTCGAAGGAAATTGATCAATACCTGACCGTACAGTCCCAAGCTGTAAAGGTAGTAGCTTTAAATTGAAGCCCTTCAAATAAAAGTCAGAAAATCAGTTGTTAATTAAGATGCTTTAAATGTCAAAGAATAGGAAATCCTGGCCTCAGACAACAAAACTTTTTTTTCTAGAATCATCAATATATGTTGAGCATTATAGATATCGTCCTGGTCATGACGATAAACTACGTCCGGCATCATGCCATCTGATCGGAGGTTTTGAGGAGCGTGGACCCACTTAAGTGTTGTTGTTTCTAGGTCCGCTTTGTCCCAGGGTGGCATTACGTGTTAGGGTCCCAACAAATAGTCAGCCCAAAAACTGGAGTCAAAACATGAATATATAAGAAATACATTAGAAAAAATTATTAGCAATACAGTTTCATAGTAAATAAAAATTTACGAGCAATACATTATTGAAAAAAAATGCCAAATCTCACAAGAAAATTAAATTTCGACATAAAAGGGCCCATTAGCAGTTGACAGAACATTTAACAGAACATCAGGAAAACATTTTTTTAAATCCTTCCTTATTTTTGCAATAAACGTTTATCGGCAAATCCCAAATTTCAAATAGTACCCTCCAGTCACTACAGAATAAATTCGTAGCCTTTCTTAAAACATATACACGCGATCGCGAACCCTGTGACCCATCAGCCGCTGTAAAAGTGGTGTTTCTTGAGCAAACCTCCTCATCGACCTGTTGTTACCGAAGGCTAAAGCGCCCAGACTGTCCTGCTATTTACCGGTAGCTGGGAAGAAGAGTAGCCATACCATTCCCAATAGAAATTATCGTGTTACAGAGTCAGCGGTGTCCACTGTTTCTTTCAGTGTGATATTATTGTTTTGTTAAATTTCTGTTAAAATTTTCGCTCGCATTTCAGCATCATTTTAGCAGTTAAACCTTGCACGAAAATTAATCCTTTGAACATATCTGGATTCATTTCATTTATTCTAAAGCCTTCAGATTCTTTATTGATGATACCAGCAGACGTGACAAAGTCTTCGTCCTCATGTTTTGGTTTTATTCAAGCATCTGCAACAAGCATTAAACAGAGAACACTTGTCACACAAGATTTTCCTTAGAATGTGTACCGCGTCTTCAAACCTGGTTTTCTCGGTAAAACGTAATTGCAATATTTTTCATACTCTATCGGCGCTATTTTCATCAAAAAACAATTTCGTTTTTGCCTCATCTTCCCAGCCGCTGAATTCCTGATTGAATATTTCTTCATATCGACGAAAATACGCAGACAAAGGCAGTCCCTCATAGGGTTATATATAAATTCTGATAGGGTATCTTGGACTGCAACTGGCGTAAGAAAGATTTTTGTTTTTGTTTTCTTCATAATTATATCCGAAAACTCCTCTTGATATTTGGACTTCTAGCAACTGTTGATTTTGTTATTGTTGCTGTTTCTGTTGTTGTTATTGTTATTGTTGAATTTCAACTATCGAAGGCAAAATGTCCTCTATATTCGCAAAATTATATGTCTTTCCTATACCAAAGAGAAATTTTATTTTTTCTTCTACAAAAAAAAGAACTTGGTTAAAATTCCTGTCGTAAGCAGTATCCTTGTCGCCGAGGCAACAAGTATATTTTTCCGTATTTGTTCGCTGAGTATGACTTTTCAAAATACTTGTTACATTTATAAGTCGTAAGAGTTCCGAATCCTCGTCACAGCGATTATAAATTGCCTGAGTTGCAAATCCCAAGTTGCCACAATTATAAATAAACTATTTTATGGCTATTGTTATAACACACTCTTAATTTATATAAGGTACTTCATATAAGGATTCTCTATACGTAATGCTTCCGCTAATTGCCTTGGGTATTGTATTAATTATTCTGAAGACTGACTCCAACGTCATGCAGTCATACCCCTGACCTGGGGCTCTTATAACAATGGACTAGTTCATATAGTCATACACAGTTCCTCCACAACAATAGATAGATAGGGATATAGATAGATAGATAGATAATGGAGATAGATAGATAGATATATAAACAGACTGGGATAGAGAGATATAAACAGACTGGGATAACTAGATAGATATTTATGAACAGACTGGGATAGACAGATATGAACAGACTGGGATAACTAGATAGATAGATAGATAGATAGATAGATAGATAGATAGATAGATAGATATAAACAGACTGGGATAGATAGATATGAACAGACTGAGATAACTAGATAGATAGATAGATAGATAGATAGATAGATAGATAGATAGATAGATAGATAGATAGATATAAACAGACTGGGATAGAGAGATATAAACAGACTGGGATAACTAGATAGATAGATATGAACAGACTGGGATAGACAGATATGAACAGACTGGGATAACTAGAGATAGATAGATAGATAGATATAAACAGACTGGGATAGATGATAGATAGATAGATAGATAGATAAATAGATGGGATAGATAGATATAAACAGACTTGAGATAGATAGATAGATAGATAAACAGATGGATAGATAGATAGATAGATAGATAGATAGATAGATAGATAGATATAAACAGACTGGGATAGACAGATATGAACAGACTGAGATAACTAGATAGATAGATAGATAGATAGATAGATAGATAGATAGATAGATACGAAAAGATAGATACGAAAAGAGTGATAGATAGATAGATGGATTTGAACAGATTGCAATAGATGTAGACTCACAGGCAGATATATTGAACCTATTCTCGAAAAGTGGATGCGTAACAAATGTAAATCTTCAAAAGAACCAATGAGATTTCGAGAAGAATGATGGAAAAGCAAATTTTTATGATAATGCCATGAGGACATTCCTGCGGCAATTCATCACTCGATACGAGCAGAATTTTTTCAAGACACCAAAATCTGCTGATGCTAAAATGCTAAGTCGAAAGAAAATTGATCAATACGTGACCGTGCAGTTCCAAACGGTAAAAGTATTGGCTTTAAATCGAAGCCCTTCAAATAAAAGTCAGAAAATCAGTTGTAAATTAGGATGATTTAAATGCCAGTAATAGGAAAACCCGGCCACTAACAACAGAACTATTTTCTAGAATCATCGATATATGGTGAGCATTATAGATATTGACCTGGTCATGACGATAAACTATATCCAGCATCATGGCATCTGATCGGGGGTTTTGAGGAGCGTGGAACCACTTCTTAATTGCCGTTGTTCTCAGGTTCGCCTTGTCCCAGGGTGGTGTCCCCTGTTAGGGTCCCAACTATGGGCAAATAGTGGACCCACAATATGGGGTCAAAACATGAAAATATAGAAAAATACATTAGAAAAAATTATTAGAACTACAGTTTCATAACAAATAAAAATTTACCAGCAATATATTATTTAAAAAAAATTGCCAAATCTCACAAGAAAATTAAATTTCCACATAAAAGGACCTACGAGCAGTTGACATGCCGTAAAAGAAACAAACCAAACCATACCATTATAGCTGATGAGGATTAATTGTAGATTTTACAATATCTATCTATCTATCTAGTTTCCTCATATCTGGTTCTACTTTTTTTTCTCGAAAACGGAAACAGTCGAGAAAACTGGTGTCATCTTTTTCCTGTCAACAACATGTTTTGTGTACTAACGATAGTCGATGCCTCAAGAAAATAAAATCTACTATAAATTCTAGTCTGCCTCGCTGACACTTCGAAAGTTCACCGAACATTAAAAAAAAAATTAACAGAGGACAGTTCTCTTTATCAATATGCTTTCTGCTCAATGTGGGCGTATGTTATTGAATTTCTTTTTTCAATTTTAAATAGAGATATTACAAGTATTTATTAAACAAATCCATCAAAAACTTTATTTATTCTAATGATTAGATATATCATAGTTATATTAAATTTTGTGCGGAAGTCGTTGAAAAATGATTGAATAATTACTATTTTATTTTAGATCAGTCAAAATGCAAAAGTTAACTATAGAGTTAACACGTTATAGAATATAGCCGGCTCTAATTTAGCCTATTTCAATATATTTCCCATGGTACTTCATATCAAGGGGTATAAAATAGATTAGTCTAAAATATATGAAACTAAGCTAGTATGTACCGGATTTTACTATCACCAACAGTTTTTCTTACCTAAAATATCATATGATGCATTTATTCTACAAACCGTTAATAATGCCTGATACGAACACATTCAAAAGTAAGCAGAGGTTATTCTTCTTTATGTGGCATGTCACCTCAGGACATAGGCGGTCATGGCCCTCCCCTATGTCCTGTTCTTTGTAGCTCTTAATAAATTTTGTCTTTTCGTTATTTCTCATAAACCCTGTTCAAGAGGCATCCATTATTCCCTTTTACTCATGGAAAGCAAGATTCAAGATTCAAAGGCGACAGACTGTTTCATGATAAACGCAATACTAGACTATTTATATATACGAGTCAGTGTAATATACCAAGCCACGGTAAAATCATCAGATAACAAAGAAAAATATAAATAGGATAACTGAAGGACACTGGAAACAAAGAAACTACGCGCACAAATCATCTTTCACAAACAGTAAATACGCGAAAAACACAGTGCTTTCCAAGTATAACTGAGAAATTAAAAACAAAGAGAAAAGCACACCAAAAACATCATGTAAAATAAGGAAAAGTACGTCAGCCTACAACAATCAATCCCAAATGAGCAAACTCTGCTTGGAGGAAAAAATAGCTACAATTATCTTCCCAGATCAAAACAAACTACTAAATAAACTATCAGAATTCATGCAAACACGAAAACAATTTTTTACTACGTTATTTAAAAATAAACAACTGAAAAGAATAAAGAAAAATAATAAGCAACAAGTAAAAAAAACAATTCAAATAAATTAATCCAAATAAATAGACAAATTAACAAACCACTTCCGCTAAAATAACCGTTAGAACAGAATAACCACAAATGCATAAAAAGAGAAAAGGAAAAACTTTTCTTATCCGACGCGTTTCATGATCTGAGAGACATTGCCATGATAAAGTCCCTCAGAGGACGAAACGGGTCGGCTAGGAATAGTTTTATCTTTTGTCTTTTTTTATATATATATATATATATATATATATATATATATATATATATATATATATATATACAGAGAGAGAGAGAGAAAGAACGAGAGAGAGAGAGGAGAAAATATGAATAGCAATCTGACGAAATGATAGGATAAAGAACAAGTAGGAAACAGATCTTAATCTATCATGTTTCACTTTATTAAATCTTCATCAGACATCAAGATAGAAATGCTAAGCAACGCTAAAAAGCAAAGAGACGCATGATATGCTGTGTTTGGCTAATTCTTATTGGTTAGATACGTGTCACGTGTAATGAAGTAACAGATAATATTTAAATATGTGTTGCAAACATTCCCAACTCTAAAGTATGTCAAAGTTAGTAAGATGCACTAAATAAATATATATATATGTACATATATATATGTGTGTGTGTGCGTGTGTGCATATAAACACATGAGTTGTGATATCTTAACTCCGGAAATGACTGTAGTTATTGATTAAGGAAAACATATACACTTGAGCCCATACGGACATGTTCGCACTTCAGCTTTCAAGTATCGAAGTGCTGTCATGGTGAAAATTTTATAAGAAAAATATATACGGCATTAATTTTTGTCTGAGGCCTGTTCCTTATTTCCGACCAAATTTGCTTGCATAAAGGCTGAAGAATAATGTGGATTGCGATAAAACTTGTTTTCTCCAAACTTTTGATGTAATAATCCAAAACCAGATAATACATTTTATGCGTGGATAACAGTTTCTTATCAGCTTATAATGCAAAATATCTATCAATTTCCGTGCAAAAGAAAAGAGGGAAGGGGAAAAAATAAGAACAGACGTAAAGAAAGATTACAGAGTTCTCACTTCAGTCATTATCTTCTGTGCATGTAATATGCGATTGACCAATCAGTAAGCTGGCAGAAACGCCCAATGACAGCGGAAGCCATATTTCAATGGACCTATAAGATCCCATTAGTGAATAGTTTCGAGATGGGCAGCGTAAACGGAACACAGAAAGTGCGGACCCTTTCTCTACCTCGTTAAATATAATGCATATACATCAACTCATGCACTTAGACTTATATCTACATTAACGCTATAGCACTGCCACTTACCGCAGGGTTTTTAGAACCACCTTATGCAAGTCGGCAATCATAATGGAAAGGCACTCCAATGAATAGTAACTCGCTCGAAGGCGTATCAGACAACATTAGGTAACAGAAGTTAGGTGAGAAGCACAGCCTCCAGGTTTGTTACAAACCAAACTACTCATATATTACCAAATGAATGAATTCATTATTTTACGGCCCTAATTAGAAGACTGTATCGTGGATGCAAGATGTGTCTGGTCAAGTTTTGGCAATCGTTATACTGACAGTGTTCTATGCCGTTGTAGCGCAGTATTTAAATTGTAATGCCAACAGAAACAAACGTCTTATATATATTTGACGCGTGGCCAAGTGGTTGGAATGTTTGATTTTCGACTATGAAACCTGGATTCGATTCCAGCGTGTGGCATATTTTTAAAGTCCCTGAAAAAATGCCACAAATTGACTAAAGACGAGTGAGTGAAACTGGGAACTGTCAAATGGTTCTGCTAACAAGATACAAGTCATAGCGTTGTCCAAACAGGTAATCATGAGAAATTATGTGATCTCTCTCAGAAACTCTAAGGACCGCACATCATATATATATATATATATATATATATATATATATATATATATATATATATGTAAAAGTGAACAATCAAGTTAATACTCAGAAGCGACAAACAGTTTCATGCTAGACGTAATCATCAGGCCATATATATATATATATATATATATATATATATATATATATATATATGCACAGTGGGGTTGAATAAGTGATCGTACAGTCAACAAATGCTTGTTATTCTCACCTTTAGCGAATGAAAACCTCGAATAACAATGTTATATATGTATTTTGGGGCATAGAATCAGAATCTGCAATTTAAAATTAGAAATTCATCGATAAGTGATAGTTATGCAATTTTTTATATTTCGAATAGTGGAAAAAGTCTTCGTACAGTGTCAATTTTTGTATTATAATACAGTAGATTTCGGCTGTACTTCAAAGTAGAAGATTCTAAACTGTTCTAGAATATTCTCAGTAACTCTATCGCAACATTCAGTTCAAAATTGGATCATTCTGCAGTCACTGTTTACTAATAACCGTTCTAATAATGGTTAGAAGGAAGGAAATGACTTGTGCTCAAACAGAGCTAATTATTAAGCTATGGAGCAATGGAAAAAGTTACAGAAACATCTCCAGTGACACGAACATACCTTTTTCAACAATTAGTTCATTTATTGCAAGATTTAAAAGACGTAAAACTGTTGAGAACAAACGCAGACCCGGTGCTCCGTTGGAAGATCTCTTCCAGATTAAGAAGAAAGTTGATGCGACAGGTTTAAAATAAACCAATGGCCATCAGATTTAATTCACACATCAACGACTTTTTCTATTACTACTGTATGGTTTAGTATTCATGACAAATATTATACTAGTAGGTTGGATTTAGTAAGAGGTAATAATAAGAGAAAGTGGGAGAAAGGAATTCCCCAAAATTATGAGGTAAGATGACAACAAAGTGGATTTACCGACACCCCCTATTCACGCGCCAGTTCAAGTGAATGTCAATAAATACGAATGCGCGAAGCGAATTCATCAGAGGAGTGGGAGAAGAGAGAAGAAACGGTGATGAGACTAGAGACAGAAGCGAGTCCCACATGATTATCTGCCGACGAAAGCCTCCGACGTCAACCTTGTGCCAAACCTTACCAACAAGAGCAAACCGGATTTTGCCAGGTCAACAATATCACTTCCGATTTAGACACGGGTTGGGCTGATAAGTAATTGCATGCGAAATCTGATATAAACCAATTATTGTACAGAGGATTGATATAAAAACAACATTTACTTTTGTTCAATTTATTCGAATGTAAACCATCGCCCTGCTTGGGGCAGCCCAACACGAAGATAACTGCGACGATTTGATCTTGGCTGCCTAATGATCAAACTTAAATCACAACGTGGGATAAGGTTAGCTTTGGTTTGAAGTGGTCAGTTCAGCAACCAGCCGCGGTGTTGGAATTCTTGGACGACCGGGTAGGGTGATATATGATTACAATATTAACTTCTCAATCTGACGAGTTATTTAACAATATAAGCCCAGTTTTCTAGCAATTTGGGGTGTTGGCAGAGACTTCATATTGCGCAGACTGTTATATGTTAAGTTTTCTTTTTTCCAACAATATTTGTTATAAATGATCCATATGCAAAGATATCTGAAGTGTTGTACTTGGTGAAAAAAATGCTGCACAAGCCATAGTCACTAAAGGAGCCCCTGTGGTGAGGTAATACGACCACACACTACACACTTTCCTTCAAAATACTGCTATGAACAACGAAAAAAAAATTCTGCACAAGCCATAGTCACTAATGGAACCTCTGTGGTGCGGTAAGACGACCACACACTACACACTTTCCTTCCAAATACTGCTAGGAACAACGAAAGTGAGCAAAAACTTTATAATTTAGTGTGTATGCGCATTCACGGTCAATGTATGCTCCTCGGCTTCACTTGGTGTACTTCACCTCCTATATAGTAAGAGTCCTGACACATTTTGAACAGATTCCTTATGTGGCACCATTTACGAGGCAGAGAAAGAAAGAGAAAGAAAAGAAGGCAGAAAGAAATGCGAGACGGATCATAGGTGATAAAACAGCCACACATGGCCTAAGAGACAATGAAAATATTGATAAGTAACAAGTGAAAAGTGTGTCATTAAAATGACAGGGAATTTCTGAGTAAAAAAAAAAAAAAGGAAAAGAAAGAAGGAACCAGATGTGTTTTGATAACGGCTATGTTATCTAGGTACGTAAAACGAATGGCTAGACCACTGGCCCAGGAAAAATTCAAGTGAAAATGCTATTTCGATAAGTAACGAGAAACAGGCCACTAAAAAGGACTTTGGACAAATATGAAAAATTAAATCCCACACAAGCAGAGCGCTGACCGAATTCCTTTCAACAAAACAACTTTGCCCTGCGATAATAAAATTATGTTATCAGGCACATATACCGAAGGAAAATAAATGGGAACCAGAAATGTTTTTCTTTCTTCCTTGGAGACGACAGACTGACTGAAATTTTTGGGGATAATTCTTTTCTGAGGCCATGTCGGGAAAACCAACCATCTTGATGAATTAGCGATAAACTACCTGACAAACGCCACGTGTTGAACAAAGAGTTGTCATATTATCCGTTCGTGGCTAGAGAAATGATAACGGCGATTTGAAGGGAAGAAAAAGGAAAGAGAAGGGATAATTAATTTTTTTTTTAGTTAAGCAAGGTATTTTTTTTTCCGAAACAAAGCCGCGGAATGTTCACGCCCGACTAAGACATCATTGGTCAAGTGATGATCACGTGACGCACGAAGGAGGAGGAAAGATACCCGACCAAGACCTCATTGGCCGAGAGTGATCACGTGACGCACGAAGAAGGCTGTCGACGCCCCCATCCAGAGTGTAAGTATGAGAAGCTGCTACGAAGAAGTGGGGAGGGAAGTTCACGCCCCTCAGAAGTATGGTGAGAAAGTGGGAGTGAAAAAAAACTTACCAAAAATGGAAAAGAGTGGAAAATCCCTAACCAGAAATAAAAGAGGTGGATATGTATTTAGAATTATCGAGGAACCCCCCGACGCCAACAGACCCACCCCGGTTTTGGTCGGCGTCAATAAAAACGAAGCCCCAACAGGCAGAAATCAGTTCGGGCCCTGGCGGCAGAGATGAGTGCCCAGAAATTTCGGGCCCTGGCGGCAGAGATGAGTGCCCAGAAAGTTCGGGCCCCGGCGGCAGAGATGAGTGTCCAGAAAGTTCGAGCTCCAGTTTCCAGAGTTGAAGCCGCCTCGCGATAGCTGACCAATATTCACGCAAAATTCCGGACTCCTCTTCAACCAAGAACAATTATTTTGAAGAGCGACTTAGGACCAGACCACCGAAATAAGTTTTTTTCGACTTTCGTCCAAAGACACACCGAAACACAAATTTCTTAGAGAGCAAACAACTTGAAGCGTTAAAACTTGCCTCGCAAAAACGACGTGTCACAATCCACAGAACGGGTCGGGAGAGGGATGCAGTCATATGTATCGAACAACTAGACATAATGTTTGTTACCTTTTTCTTTGATACTTTGAACTTTTTGAGTTTTCATTTTCTTTTCTTTTATGCATATTTGTGTGTTATCACCCCCGTTGAACTCAATTTGCATTACGGCACCAACCACTGTTTGATCTCGTCTGTCTAAGATCAATTCACAACGTGGGCAGGCAGACTGGAGATCAATACAGTTACCTTGGTAACCAGGCGTTGGAAGCGAGTTGGGAACGACGAGGCTGATATCAAATCTAACCAGAATCACCAAAAGGTTAGAACGTCACATTTGGGTGCCGCGACCTATACCAAGCCTGTTGGTCGTCACAGGACGAGACAACACGACTGACGCGACAGGCGGACGTCACGTTTGGAGCAGCGACACCCGGACGGAGCAGCGAGGAGCGAACAGCTGGCGCCGCGGCGAGGACGTCACAAGTGGTGCTGTTTGAGGACGTCACAACTGGCGCCGTGGTAGAGCAGGATAGAACGTCACAGTTGGCGCTGCGACCGGGGGACGACGTCACACTTATATGAAGGATGCTCAAAATGTAGTATCTACTTTTATTTACTAAACAGAAGCTAGAACGGATTTAGGGAACAGATTAATATAGATTTCCAATTCCAAAATAGTTTTTTTTTTCATCTAATTACCACAACTGATTCTTCAGGTTTGAGGTACTCTGCATTTGTGGTTGCACGATATTTACTACTAACAATACAAAGAGAGACGTGCTACGTATAAAATCTGACATCGCCTATTAATGGTTTTTGTATAATCAATATTTTTCTCCTGTGGCCAAATATTCAATCGTTCTCTGGTCTTTTACAGTCAACGTTGTCTGCCGCTGGACCTATTTCCAATAAAGCAGGCTAAAACAGAGTGAAGTATTCATGCTCACAAAGACTTTTATCTTTTATGTACCGTGTCCTGTCAAGAAGTGAGACCTTCATACTACCTGACCTTAACATCTCTAGGCGATATTTATGTTGGAATTCTCCCTCTTCTGCGTGCCATTTTTATACGCTGGTCTTTTCAACAGGAAGAGAGGATTATCCCTTATTTCCTGTTTAGAATTGGGTTCCGGTTCTTTCTTATAGCGTCTCATCCTGTTCCACTTCCTGTAGCCTCTTGTGTGTTAATAGCATTATCGCCTGCCTTGTGGCGAATTGATAAAAAATTTACAATAGATCGTTAATTAGATAACTAGATGTTTCTCTCTACTCCTGCCCCTCAAAATAATATCAGATTCACTGAGTCATTTTTCCTCACGTTTTATCCAAGTAATTTCAACTGTCTCTTTCTTAATTTTTTTTTTATTTTTCTCTAAAACTTCCCTGTTTCTCACATGCTTCGACTGTGGTATTTTCACCTGCCTTCTGTAAAACAACATCTTACTTGCTTCCAGTCTCCTCTTTATCTGTGAAGAAATTGGCCAACCTTCACAGTCATATAGGAAGATCTTACATTTCGTTTCAGGACTATGTTCTTTGTTACCTATGAGATTTTTTATGTTTCTTAATATATGATGCAGCAAAATGCAACGCCCTTTTTAATTTATTCAATTTTATTAAACTAAAATAAATTACAGTAGTTTAACTTTCTTTAAAGTTAACTATGGTTTAAGCATTCAGGAAGGGTTAAATCTTAATTTCGAGCTGAGTTGGATACAACATGGAACAATAGAATACACATAACTATTGCCGGCCCTAACTCCTCCAGACGTCTTCTTGGGGGTGGACTGAAAGATCTTGCTTAAACCCTCAATTCGAAAATAATTTTTTAATTAAATTATGATAAATTTCCTGAAATTAACATAGAAATGTATCAAATGGTTTGTTGGAGTGTTGCTCACCATTGTACTCAGGGCCGGCGGTAGGGTCTTGAGGCCTCCCATCCCGAAAATTGGATACGGAGACCCCTCTCTACTGGATGTTGATTTCAAAGTTTCCAAAATTTATGGCCACAAACCCTCGCAGTACAATCGGGAGGGAAGTCAGCGCTTTTTATAAATTACCAAAAATTAGGGAATTATTTATTTTTAATGAAAATTTTAGTAGATATTCATTAATTATTTACTTTTATAATGAATAGGTTTTTTTTTTATTTAAAAAAAATGAGAAAATGTTATTCTTTTTGTAAGAAACACCAATATTTTCATGACTAAATTTTACTCGAAAAAATGTTTAAGTCGCAATTTTTTTATATTTCCATAAAGATTAATCGTCGACGCATCTCCTCTGAAAAAAATTAGTTTTACAAAGATTCCAACACAACTTAAAACGTGAAGGGGGATTTTTCATGTGATGAAATTTTTAAAGATTTTTATTTTTTTAAGCGGTCATTTTCTCGGTTTTATCTTTCTAGAAATGTAAAACATAGGCCCTAGAAAGTTATTTTTAATTACTAGCCGTTGACTTCTGGTTATTATTGCTATTATTAAAAAAATCAAAGATCCTCCTTAATGGATGATCTCGGAATAAAAAATAATTTACAGAGATATATTAGCCTCTTAATTGATTTAAAAATACTGTGCAGAAAGAAAATTAGAATTTTTAAAAAAATGAAGCGGTACTGAAATTAGCACTTCTCTCCCCCAGTAGGCCCCACACGGTTGAGAGGTTGTGTAAGCACCGGCCGTGTCGATTATTATAGTTGATGCTTGACAATATAACTTAGGTAGAAAACAGTACAAAATACAAAAAGCAAAAAGACGCCATTTGGGTGGCTCTAACTTCGTCGAAGTTTCCTGCGTAATACGCACCGGACCTTCCATGCAGATTCACAATGTTTATTATTAGTTGGTGTTTGACAATGTAACATCAGTTTAAAAATAATTGTTTTAAATGGCCAGAAAGCATAGTTGAAAAAAAAAATGGCAGAGGCCACAACTGGTCCTAAATAATTCCCCCTGCTCGTTCGGAACCCTGACTGCACTGAACTTGTATTTGAAAACGTTAACTAGTTTGTTAATCATAACAAATAATATTGTTTTGATGTGACGTTATTCATGAATTTTGGAGGGGTTGCTACAGTTTTACTTCTATATAAACCGTCATCACGTCGACATTTGCGTATGTGGCACTTTTAACAAGAATCGGTTTGCCTGTGCAGAGTGAAAACTTTCTGACATCTCATGCCGCCAAGTTGACCCCAAATGTAATGTTTTCTATTCTATTGTATCTTGTCGCTATGCCCGTGAGACGGGAAAGCTGAGCAGCGTTCAGGCTCGATATACAAAGAGCCCATATATTTGTGCCCTGGAGAGGTCACTACACTTTCACGACCCAGTGAGAGCACGTTATGTTAGAAAGCATTTTATGACTCCAGATGCTGCTCACAAAAAGACTGAATTATCTACCATTATCTTGCAAGATACCCGGATACCTACCCACCTAAGATTGTGGCTACAAATAATAAATCCCTCACGCATAACGCATAAAACATTTACAATAAACGGAAATTTATATGGTCAGTGTGCACTGATCGATATCTACGCTAATCCGATAGAAATATTTGTAGTTTTGCATGCTAAAAATAAAATTAAACAATTGCAAATAATTTTGGAAATTTTTATGGTAATTTACCCACGCACGCATGGATTCCCTTAGCTATAAATAGGTGCAGGTACTGCCTTTTGGAGAGAGGGATGTTTCTAGCAGTCAGCTCTGACAGTCAGACCGAATATTCTTGCTGTAACACTCTCGTTTGTATATGTTTGTATTACTGTTTCTGTTAATATATTCGTTTAACTCAATTCCTCGCTTGTGTCTTTATTTCTGGCCCTAACAAGGCCACAACAGAAATCTAGAAATTGGGTTCATATATATTGTGAAATACGAATGTTTGTGTCTCACTGGGACAAGCTAATGTGATATGAGAGATTATATACGAGCTTTTTTTATCATAGGTAGTTATAATAGTCTTACATTATTGTCATTTTAGTATGTCATTACTATGTATCTAATAAGTAAACCTTCCACTATTTGTTATTCCAGATTGATGGAGATTACTGTAACAGCTCTTTGAACAAACATTACGAAAGACTGATAGTAAAAGCTTACTAATTTCTAGAATGTAGTTGGACTTATTGATGCATTCACACTTTTTCTACAGATTTCTTTTTTTCTACAGATCAACATTTGCAGGTTATTTAAACACAGTAATTATTTTTTAAATGTAAGAATATTTTGTAGATAATAATTTGTGATAAATTTCTCATTAGGTAACATATAGCTAGTGGAAGAGGAGTTGAATTCATATGTTTCCCATGGGTATTTGCGTGTAAGTGAATATAACGAACCCAAATTGAATTGGAACTCCGTTCTTTGATTAACAATTCTGAGCCATTATCCATTACACCGCCCGCACATCCGAGCTTATAATACCTGGTCATCCATATTGTTACTGACGACTCAAATTTGTCTTGATTCAGTGAGACTTGCGTTTGATGCGTGATGTTTCCGTAAGCAAGCGCGACGACGTGAAGACAATTTGAAAACTTACTATGCAATAAAGTTTTGAGTTGACAGAGACGGACAGGAAAACTGTCTCTCACCCACCCTACAGTCAGGAATTTACTCCGTATGAATGTAGTTCCCCAAGCTGAACAGGAACCTATGTTGAAGTCGTTGAGAAAATGACGGAAGCTGTGACAAGGGACCAGGACATCTTCATTTTGGATGACTTCAGTGGGTTTATGAAGTAACTTGAGCTCTACAATAAGTGTACTGAATTCATAGCATCCATCTTTGAAGAAGATTAGAAGTATTTAAAATTCTTTGAAACGTTTCTTATGAAATAGACTTAATAATGCTGGTATGTAAATCGTAGATATAATAATGAAATGGTTTTATAAAGCTGTAGAACCATCAGTAATTATACCAACGATCAGAAAATAAGTTTGATAACACAGCAACATAAACATTATTTAAATAACATTTATTTATCAACTACGCGTTCCTTAGTCAGATTCCAATGTAATAATGTTTCCTATGGTTATACTTCTTAGTCTAGTCTCTTAATGGTAGGAACGTCGAAATAAAACTCAGATAAAATCATATATATATATATATATATATATGTTTGCGTGTGTGTGTGTGTGTGTGTGTGTGTGTGTATTGGTTCCCGCTTTAGTGGAATGTTTGTTTGCTAGCGCACGAGACGCCGAGCGAAGGATACGGTTTCTCTAATAAAATTGTCTGAACACCGAACTCGTGGCAGGAACCGATTGAAATCTGACGCTTACAATTCTGCTGACGCTGCAGATAACATGCCATAGGCCAGCTCTGCGCACTCTGGCTCACTGCCCGAATGACCGAATCCGAAAATCCGATTTTTGATTCCGCAAATCACTGAATCTTGACGTGATCAGCTGATCGCTACAGACAGATACATGAAATGCGTAAGCTAATCATGTTCTTTCCTTTCATTTGAGCACGTGTTAACTTTGATGTATTACATTGACGTGTGTTACTAGGACATGTGAGATCAACCCACTTTACTGAATGTCTCTCCCCCCTCTCTCTCTCCCTCCATACACACACACACACACACACACACACACACACACACACATATATATATATATATATATATTTATATAACCAAGATTAACAGCAAAATTGTCTAAACTGTACAACAGCAAAAATTATCCAATTATTAAAATAAGGTCTCAACAGCTGTATCTTAGAAATGATTAAAGATATCTTACTGGAATTCTTCGAGGTTTTTATAAAACTACTGGACTTTACT